TAGTATAATGATAAATCTTTTTGATTTTCAATCTAATATTATTTTAGCAGTTATTTCATTTATATCTTCTAAAATATTATCAAAATCTTAATAATATTTTAATACTGATACCAGTTTTTATATTAGTAATGAAAGATGCTTGATAATATATTCAAAATTATTCCAAAAAAATTTTAAAATTAGTATAACTGATAGAAATCAGAAAAAAATATAAAATATAAAATATAATATAATTTCAAATATTTATTACATCTTAAATCTCACTATCAATTTGTTATTACTTGCAAAGCTAAAAGATCAAAACTTCAGTTTGAACTATATTTATTATTTACTATTATATTTTATCATCAATGCTTTAAATAATATGATGTTTACTATGATTTGAAGATCACAAAGCTTTATTTATAAGATTATTACATAAGATTGAAAAATAATTTTTATTATATATTCAAAATAGTTTAATCATATCACTTAATTTCATGATCATGAAGATGTAATGGTGATAGTCAATGAATCTAATGTTCAATCTAACAAATCAACTACATTTCCACAAATGAAATGATAATGGCAGACAGGATCAGTCTCTAGGCACAACAGTGTTTAAACATTTTATATGCAGCATGTTTTAGTTAGATTCTAACTAGAATAGGGCAAGAAACCTCACGTGATATACATGTATATTAGTAAGCTAGCAAGAACCAAACACAAACTAACTACTTATAAAGGCTGAAGTACAGGGATCACCTGATCCAACCACGTTTATCTCTAGCATTGCGGCGACTCCAGCAACAACCAACTGTTATACTCCCTGGGCGGGCTGCCTCAGACCTAGTGGCAGCGATGGTTCATGATATAGAGGAAGCCTGGGCCCATGGAAAAGTAGTCTCTCTTCTTACTCTGGACATCAAGGGTGCTTTTGATGCTGTACTCAGAGGAAGGATGCTGCGGAGATTGCAAGAACAAGGCTGGCCACCAAATTTAATTAGATGGGTGGAAAGCTTCATGACAGGACGCACAGGCAGGATCAGATTGGATGGACTCCTGGGAGAGCTCTTTGATATCCCAGCAGGGCTTCCACAAGGCTCGCCAGTCTCACCTATTCTATTCATGCTGTTTATTCAGCCTCTGTTCTTTCTAGGAACTATACAAAGAAGACGTGCACGCTCAGGCTACGCAGATGACCTAGGACTGCTTAGTGCTGGAACCACTCTTGAAGGGAATGTTGTTACTCTCCAGGAGGATTTCAAGTTGCTAAATGATTGGGCCAGCAAAGAAGGGCTAACATTTGATTTTGCCAAAACTGAGATAGCACACTTCACACGGCGCAGAATCCTTTCAAACCCCTCAATTGACCTTGAAACAACATCTGGCACTCACTCTATTACAGCAAATGCAGTGAAAAGCTCCATAAGATATCTAGGAATCTGGCTAGATAGAAAACTGAGCTTCAAGAAACACGTGGAGACCATGGCGGCTAAGGCACGACAGGTGTCTAATGGCATACGGGCACTAAGCAACACGGCAAGAGGCGCCCCAGTACAACTGCTTAGACAATCCATTCAGGCCAGTGTGCTCTCTGTGCTCTGCTATGGAGCAGAGGCCTGGTGGCCTGGAGCCACACGAATGGAGAAGGGAAAGGAAATCTCCAATCGAATGGATTGCCTAGTCAGAAAGCTAGATCTAGCCCTTAGAGATGCTTTGCGAGGGGCACTGCCAGTCTACAAGACCACACCCATTTCAGCTCTACACCGTGAGCTAGGAATCATGCCAATGAAAGAGACACTAGACAACCGGCGTGCTGTATTTGCAGTAAGAATCAAAAAGCTTGACAAGAGGCACCCGCTAGTGAGGCGCTCTAATAAAGTAGCTACCACCAAGCCCTATACCACACGTCTGTCTAGAGCGTCCAGTCATGCTGGTGGGATAGAAGCATATGACCCTCTACTCACGCCCCCTTGGATGAGATTTCCCAGGAAAGAAGATCTGCAGATTGGGTATGTGGCAGGCCGCACAAAGGAACAGGCAGCACAAGACTTTAAGAGCTGGCTACAACAACGCAATCCCCTGGATCTGGTGGTCTTCACCGATGGTTCACAGATAGAGCGCCCTCAGCGCGCGACTGGTGCAGGATGGGCTATATGCTGGGGTAGCGAACACCGTCTAATCTCCACAGGAAACCTGCCAATGGATAAAGCAGAGGTCTTTGATGCAGAGGCAATGGCAGCCCTGCAGGGCCTAAAGGAAGCCACCACCTCACCTCAGGCGAAGTTTGCCAGCAACGTCTACATTTGCCTAGATAATTTGGAGGTAGCACGAGCCCTTGGATCCGTGCCAAACACCTCTAGCCAGCAGGTCTTCGCGCAGTTTCTGAAAGCCATAAAGGCCTGGCAGAGCAGGGATAGGCTCCCATTGGCCACCCAGAGCAGGGTGGTCATTAGATGGGTCCCAGGCCACGCAGGCGTGGCTGGTAATGAAAAGGCAGATCTTGAAGCCAAAGCAGCCGCAGCGCAGGCAGCAAGTGCAAGCATGGTACCTCAACCCGACAGCATAGGCACTCTAGCTTATATAAAGCGGCACACTATGGAACAAACCACACGGGCCTTTGAGAACTACTGGGCCAAAAATCGGCCCAAACGCTATATGGAGCTGGAGATCCCACTAAAGAGAGCCTCAACAGAGGCAAAACTTTCACGCTTCACATTAGGAAAGCTCTATGCCGCCCGATCAGGTCATGGAGACTTTGCAGCCTACCACAGCCGCCTTAAGCATGAAGATGCAGAGTGCTACTGCCGGTGCGGACATAGCAAAACCCCAGAACATTTCTACTATTGCACTCTTGCAAGAAAAGCAGCAAAGCGGCGCCGGCCTATCTACAATCTTCGCGAGACACTGGCAACCTCGCGTGGGGCCCTAGATTTCAATAACTGGCTAAGAGAAACAGCCTTCTATCAGAATATCTGTCCAATGCGCCGTCGCGCACCTCCAGATCAGATCCCACAGTCCATCCTCTCCTCTGTCCTGCCCCCGTCTTCCTCACCACCTCCTCCTCCTTCCTCTCTCTCCTCCCCTTTCTTCCCTTCCTTGCCTTCCTTCCTATCCGCCTCCCCTACCTCCCTCCCACAAACCTAAAACCTCTCAAAACCTCTGCTCTATGGCAACCGACCCATGGGCTCTGCCGGTGCAGCAATACGCAACCCTTTTGCCTCATTTGTAAGATAGCTACTAGATAGGTAGTCGCCTACGGGCGCAGCTCTACCCGCCCTATAGTTCGACGCGGACTCTACTAGTTCACGTGACCATAAGGCACGTGGACTAACCGGGCGTTAAATAAACACACACACACACACACACCAACTGTTATACCCAACTGCTATGCTTTCGTATACGTATTATCACATATCTAGTGGGTATTTATACGATGTTGAGTAGGGAGTTACATGGCATCCCTTCATTAACCACGAATAGTCATCCTTTATTTTTGCTTTTAACAATTCCACCCCCGCAAGTCGAGTAAGATTTGGATTTTCCTTTATCTTGATACAGCTTCCTTTGTTTTGCATCTTCTTGTCCTCAGCCATGGATTTTGCTACTCTGATGGCCAAGGAAATATCCAAGGCCAAGTCACCTGAAACCTCGACCCCTTCCTCGGGCTCCGGAAAACAGTACGTGAAACGGTCGGAACTCGAAGCCGCTAGATTGGCCGCATACAACGCTGAACAAGAGAAGCTACGCAAAGAACGTGAACAACGTGCTGAGCTGAAGCGTAAGTTGGACGAGGCGGAGGAGCACAAGACAAGAGAGAGGGAAGAGAAGAGACGACGATTGGCGGAGGAATCAAGGCGGAAAAGAGAAGCAGAAGCGGAAGCCAAGGAGAGAGCGCGTCGGAGGAGACTGGGCCTGCCCGAAGTACCCGAAGGGAGTCCAACTGATTCGAAAAATATAACACCTTTGAAGGTCCACGAGAGAGACCCCGATGAAAATGAGGTAATCGACAAGCTGAGAGCTGCAGGAGAGCCTGCACGGCTCTTTGGAGAAGGTCACAAAGCTCGTGTAAAGCGCTATCGACGACTTGTTCAACGATCTCTCACTCCCCAACCTCAGGTTTCTGAAGGCCCAATCCCCACGACCCTTGTTCTTGTTCCCGAGGCGGAAATGAAGGTTCCATCTAAACTGCCAAAAGATGACGAAGGTCGCAAATTCGTCTTCCGGCAACTGGCATCATACTTCACAATGATTCTAAGGGAATGGGAAATCGCCTTGGCGAAAAGAGATGCAGCTATCAAACAGAGCTACCAGGGTAAGCAGGCTTATAATGCCATGGTGCAGTCCCGAGAGAACATGCGACCACTATTTAGGAAGTTCGAGAAGGGGGATTTGGAGGAGAGCATACTTGAACCAGTGGTGGAAATTGTACGCAATGCGCAGGACAGACGCTATGTCGACGCAAATGATGGCTATCTTCGACTTAGCATTGGAAAGGCGTAAGTAGCTCCAGTCATACAAATTCCTTCAAAAGCTTCCAACCGCTGCTGTTTACATTTCGTTTTCACTTTCCTCCCTCTAATTATATTGTTCAGGGCTTGGCCCATTGGTGTTACTATGGTTGGTATTCACGAGAGATCCGCTCGAGAGAAACTCCATGAGAGCGACAAGGGACAGGCACATATCATGAGTGACGAAATCACGCGAAAGTTCCTACAGAGCATCAAGAGATGCCTCACTTTCGCCCAGGTCCGTTGGCCGCCGAATGACCAACTTCAGCTTATGGGTTGAAAAGTAGTATTCTTTCCCCCCCTCCCTTTATATTTATTTATTTATTTATTTTGTTTACTAATTATTTTATCCTCTACTCTCTGACTAGATTGCTTTGAAAAAACAGAGGTGTTTCCTCATCGTTGCTGCTCATGGGTCCCAAATAATGCTCAAGTATTTACCACAATTTTAAATCTACATTCACTGATATGTATGCGCGTGGAATACTCTAACCATCTAATGAAAAATCAATGAAAACATAGAATCCCACCAACTGTTAACCCAAGTTGCCGCCAAATCACGTTCGACATGTTTTGGCTGTTCCGATTCATTTGTATTAAGTACTCTAGGGTTACGTTCACCTCTGCCACTTTGAGTAATCCTCTGCTCGCTATCGGCTGTTTTCGGGCCGGAATCTTGCGATATTCCTCTTCTATCTGGATGTTCAAGTCCGTTTGTATGAGCCTTCCAGCGGCATAGATGCAGCCGCCATAGGCGAACCTGATCAGCGAGTCTCCAGTTAAACTGCCAATGATAAATACGTTGTTTGTTACCTCTAAACCCTCCAAGGCCCGTGCACGCATTCTTTTCCTCGATATTCGTTCGCATTCCTTTAGTGACTGCTTTCCGAATATTTCAGCTAGCAAATTGTTGCTGAGGTAGCTCAATGTGCTCTGTCGGCCAACCACATATGCCAACCCACTCACTTTGCGAGAAAAGGTGATCCCAGCCTGGCATCGGAATGTTACCAGTGCTGTCTCATAATCCAATACAACATCTGTGATTATCGTGTTCGGAATGCCCTCATAATCGTCTTCCAAATTTCTGCCTTCGAGAAACGGGATGGAAGTACCACCTGCAAGTTTCGGGAACCGAGATGAGCCATTCTGATTCAACCGTCCAAATTCTCGTTTCATGAGTCTGTATATAGCCGCGTACTCTGGGTAAGCTTGCTGATGGCAACTTCTCAGAGGCGATGGATTGGTATCTGGTTCCCATTGGAAAACGTGCAGTAATTTTTGGTTTGGATGGGATGATATTATGACATCTGCTGCGGAAAACCCGGACCCGACGACCAGGAGAGGTGCAGGACGTGATAGCACTGGGGAAAGGACATGGCAATCTAAGCAAGGGTAGCAACAATGGCGTCAGAGGTATGCTCTCGGCAAACACACAAGATGCGAGGATGAGTTTGTTGCAGGTGATGTTATGTGATCCAATATAGAAAGCATTCTCTGTGCGAACAATGCCCTGGATTTCCTCATTGCATCGAATTGACCCGGATATTCCTACGGATATGGAATATGCCGCAAGATATTCCGCAACAGCCTGTCTTGATGGCCTCGTAAAGGGAGGTAAAGGGCAGCCATGGACTTGTTCATGGTGCTCAGAGAAGCTGTAACCTGGTAGGGAGAGCATTCCAGCATAGCTTAGGGACCGAACATCTGGAGTTGTGCCCTCTGGACAGCCCGTCCATTGTCCCCCAGGTTGATCTACATCTCCAAAAACCAGGTGTGATGTAGCCATTTCTGGCATGTACCGCCATTGGAGACTTGTTTCTGTCCCTTCATCGTCATCTCCATTCGGCCGGATTAGAGCAACAAGAAGAACGTTAATGGGAAGTGCTTGAGTAGAGTATGAAAAGCGGGAGGCTCCCAAATGGCTTGTCAAATGCTCGATATCTAGGTGAAGGAGTTGAGGATTTTGCTTCAGCTTCGCATGGAGTAACGGATCTGGATGGGGTTTCTGCGGGTTGTAAAATGGAACGTGGCCGTGCAGGATGTAGGAGAGTATTATTGCAGCGGGTCCATTTCCTGAAGGGTGTTAGTACCAGTTAATATTGTTCAACAGCGGGGGAGCGCTTTTATATTTTTATTTATTTATTTTTTTTCTTTGGCCTCCTTTTATTGTTTTTTTATATATCTTTCCCCCGAGTGTCCGGCTGAGATAGGAGAGCACTTACCAACAATTACAACATCAACTGATGTAAGAATGGTTGATATCTCTTCTATGGACAGCAATGGGATCATCAGGCATTCTGTATAGGACAACAGTGATTGATGATAGCCCCCAGCACCTCCTGTGTGTTACAGAACTATAGCTCAAGCCTTTCACCTCATGTCTTTCAGTGAGTAATGCGAAGGTGGTTGCATATAAAGCAGCTGTTCTTCTTTGTGATGGATAAAAGCCAAGACTGCAACTTCCAACAGCCAAATGATCAATTGAATGAAAATAGATGGTTGAGCAGAGAACTCTGAGGAGAGATGCTGGGATCACAATTCATTATTTCATGCCAAATGGGGAGTTTGGATTTATAAGTGGAAGGAGGCCTAACTACCTAGCAGTTAACTAACTGTACCATGTGCACTCACTACCTCTTATTAGTAAGTGTGCCCCACTGTAAAGAAAATATCACTGTAATGAAAATATTCTAGAATCACTAATCTTCAAAAATTAATTAATGATCAACACCATGCCTATCTATAATATAAAGATTATCTATATACTTATTAAAGCATGTAGTTGTAGAATCTTCAGTAAATTGAGATTCATTAATAACATTACATTGTGATTGATTGGCATTAGATTTGAGAACCTTGATTTCAACTTCTATCTTTTATAACTTCCTCCTTCGTACGTGCTTGATCTTGCAATTGACATTCTTGATAGTGAGAACATTCTCTATCCGCATCTATCTGTAGGTTTTTTTAACAATTCAGTGTCTATTCATCAAATAATGATCAAATAACTCATTTTCTCAGTACATACTTAATTTTGCTTATATTAAACTCTTCCTGAAGATATTATTCAATCACTAAGTTAAATCAGATATTGAAGTATTTTTTATCCCTTCTTCTATGATATTATCTACTATCTTAATTTGATAATATAATTTTACAACTGTATCTGAGAATATCAATTGAGAAGATATGATGAAAAGTTAGATCTCAGAAAATGAGATAAAACTAGAGTATTCTTCATCATCATTATCATAAACAAGCAGCTCTGGGCTATCACTATATTATATTGTCTCAAATATTGAAAAGTTACTTCTTATTTGATTGAATAGATTCCACAGTTAGTAAATCTGACTTTGATGATGATAGATTTGAAAATTTGATGATAGACACTTTCTAGATTATCTAAAAACTGTTAGGGAGCGAATGCGAGCTGCATAAGAAGGAAACTCTCTGCGTTGCTAACTGCTATATAACGGAATACTAAGCTTGATGGGATGAAAGAGGGTGCTGGGGCCTGCCTGCCCAGAATATAACGACCCGCGGGCATGGTCACGTGGTCACGTGATGAGGGTTAGGCCTAATCGGGCGCCGAGCCTAACAACAACTCTCTCATTATATTGCTTATATTTTTTTGAATCAAGCAGCCTTATTAACTGCTTTTGTATGATAATGTTTTATTGCTGAAAAGATACACCATTAAAAGATTGTAGTAGATGACTTATATAAGATGAGAATTCAAGTTCAATAATGTTATAAAAGTTATAAATATTAAAAAACACTTCAATAAAATAAGATTCAGAATTATCAATCAGTAATAATTGATGACTATTAATCTGATATTTTTTAGTGATAGTTTTAAAAAGTTTTATTGATTCAAATTTAATATTATTATTAATAAAGCTAATATCAGATAATATAATGATATAATTATTAAACAGATTAAAGTATATATCAATCTTTTATATAAATCTTTGATCTTGAGTACTTACTTATACAGATATTTTAAAAAATAAAAAAGCAGATTTAGCAGCAAAGATTAAAACTAATACTTAAAAAGTAACTCAAAAAATTATATTTTGATAAGTAGATAAAGATTTGAGAAAAAAAGAAAAAAGATACTCAATATACAAAATATAAAATAAAATCAAAAGAAAAATTTATATCATTAAAATGAAGAAATAAAATATTATCATCTATAATATAATTGAAACTTGAATATAACTACTTTAAATTATATATAAAAAGATTTAAAAATTCTTTAATCTTTAATAAATATATTTCTTATGATATAGTTGAAAGTTTAGATTATATACTAATAAATTACTTATTAAACAATGAGATAAAAATAAAATTAAAAAAAAAAACACTTAATTAATCAATTAAATATGATCTTTCTATTTAATACTAAATTAGAAAAAGAGTTTTTAATTAAGTTTATAGAGAAAACAAAAATTATCTTTAAAGAATAAAATTTAATATAAAATAAATTTAATATTTAATCTATAAAAAAGTTGAAAATATTTTTAAAAATACTTTTATTAAGATTTTTTATATTAAATTTATTATTTTATTATTTTATTTTATTTTATTTTATTTTATTTTATTTAAATTGAAAAAAAATTGAATTAAAGTTGAAACTATAAATATATCTTTTATTAAAAAATTATTAAATACTATATTATTCTGAGATAAAATTTTAGTATATAAATTGATTACTATTTATTAGTTAGATTAATAAAATAATTAAATTCTAGTTTTAACTAGATAGATATCATAGTTACTGACTGAATACATCTTAAATGATGAATAATAATAATAATAATCTTTGTTATCTAGATTTATATCTTATTAATGAGCTTTATAATTCTGCAGTAGTTATAGCACTTTCAGATATACAATAATAAGAAGTCTTCAATCTAGTATAATTCAATTTAATTTAATTATTATAATGTTGAGATAGTTTGCTTTAAAATCTAGTCAGTTGAAATACAATGATTTTGTAACTTACTTATGTAAATGACCTGCTTAATGTAATCAATCATTCAACTGGTCAGATCACTCAACTGGCCACCTCCCCACTGTACATTAAACAAATCTTTAAATTCTGCCATCACTATATTAAATTATCCATTAAAAAATTATATACAATTAAATTCTAGCTCTGCAAGCATCCTGGGGCTCTATGTCCAGTATTCCCACACTTGCTGCAGTGTGCCAGTGCTCACTTTTTAGTGGGTTGATTTGAATTCTCCACCTCTCTATTCATTATTTGCTGAGCAGTCTGAGCAGTCTGAGCTCTAGCTAATTTTTCTTCTTCAGTCAGAATTCCTTTCTGATCTATGCAAACACAGTCTTGTCCTCACTTGTATTTCTGCTTCTCATTTGCAGCTTGTAAAGCCTTATTCTCTTGAGTCAAAAGAGCACCTCCATGCATAGCTAGTTGACACCCCTGAACTAGTTGATCTAAAGCTTGGTTGGTAGGACTAGACAGGCTTTATGTATGATGCTTGATAAACTGCTTGAGCTTGTTGAATTGACTTTCCAATTGAACAGCATTTTAGAAAGTCTTTGAGATCCAGAAGGCCTGAGATTCATGAGATGTGCCTGGGGGACTTGGTGTATGTAGTTGATAATATAGATGTTCAAGAACCTTCTCTGCATTGAATGGCACTAAGTCTGTGGCTCTGAATCCATTCTTAATAGTCATATCCTTCAATGCCTCCTTCCTAGCAGCAGAATATAGTTCTAGGAATTCCTCCTTATCCACATGATTAATGTTAAGCCTCATGTCAGATTCAATCTACTTGCAATATGCCTTCTTCAGAGGGACAAAGCAGCTCACATCTAGTGACTGCAGCAGATAAGAAGAATGAGATGGCATATAGAGAGCTATAATAGCATTCTCTCTGCAGAATTGATCAAATTCAGCAGTGGCATGGCTCCCATGCTCATTCAGAATCAAGAGTCTATATCTTCCAACTGTATAAGCCTGAGTATGCTTGTTAAACACCTCTTTCAGTCATATTAGACCAAGCTGATCAGTGGTCCAGCCATTCTCACTAATTCCAATTACCCAATCTGCTGGCAGGTTTGTATACCATGAAGTCTGATGTAGCTTGCCCTTGAGAATAATCATTGAAGACAGACTCTGTCCTCTTGCATTGACTGACTCAATCACAGTCACTCATTCCCTATTTCCTGGCTGTATAAGAGATGCCTTTCCAGCTCTTTCTGATCTAGTGACCACTAAGGTTGTTGAAATAACCCTCATAAGAAAGCCAACTTCATCAAAATTATATGTATTCTCAGGTAGAATTCCATACTTCTTCATGGCATTATCCACCATTCTAAACCACCTCTTTATAATCTCTGGATCTTCACATAGAGCTCACTGGTGATCATATCTGTATGTGAGCCTGGTCTTCAGCTCAGAATGGTGTTTAATAAATCTCTGCACCCAGCATTCTCCAATGCTAGGGGATATGCTAGATCCACAGGCCCTGAGTAGCTCAATGGCCATATATCATACACTTGCAATTCAGGGGGGTAGGCCTCTCTCATCCATGGAGATTATCCATTGAACTAGAGCTTCTTCTTCTGTAGGTGTCAATTTCTGGCATTGAGACTGGGATTTCACGCGTGGAATGCCTCCATGTAGTTGATTGGATAGGGTGGCATGAGAGACACCATAGGCCTTAGCAGCAGCTCAAATGCTAGAAATTTGCTTGATTTCATAGGCTCTAATGGTCAAAAGAAGTTTTCCTTCCTGATTAGAGGCTTGAATTTTCATTGTGGTTGAGAAATTGAGCTTTGATTGTTGATGATGGGTTGAAATTGGAAAGGTGGCCAGTTGAGTGATCTGGCCAGTTGAGTGATCGATTACGTTACTTGAAAATTACATTCAACTTCTGATGGAAACTTGGCGATTATATAATCAGCAACGGCTAAACATTCGTCCGACATGAATCAGAGAAATAGTAGAACTTTATCAAAATAATATCAAAATAATTATAAAAGTAAAACTTTATCTATAAACTATTTCAATATTATTATTTATTTTCAATTATCAAGTTGTAAAAACTTTGTCTAATGATATCACTTTATATTAATAATAACTTTGATAGCTATTATAAAGTTTTATTATAAATTTAATTTTATTAAAGTTGAAAATATCTGTTAACTTAGTTTTATGCTTAATTGTTAAAAGTCTTCAAATAATTTTTTTAAAAATAAAAATTATTTCATATGTATCTTAAATATAGCTATAGCAATTTGAATTATGATATTGCAGCTATATATATTCATTAATATGTCTTGAGATTTAATTCTTATTAATATACAACAAATAAATAGTTAAATAAATAAATATGTAATATCATTGAGTAAGAAAATGATTAATTATACTTTAATAAATATCAGTTATGGAAATAATTCTTATTTAGTCAGCTAGAGTTCATTCAATAACTTTATTCTCTTCAATACAAGTCAATCTATATAAATGTATGATAGTTTCTGAAGTTAGTTTACTTTATCAATCAAATTATATTGTATAAGGAACATCATGCACTTATGCAGCTTTATTAATTCAAGTTATTTATTGGGATTTTAAGAGAGAATATTGCAAGTTCAGGTCTTCCCTCTAATCTCTCTAGAGTTCCTTGCCTTTTTACCGCGAATCGATGGCATTCTGATACGTTGAAGTGGACGCACCAGGAAATTAAGGATATTTTGAAAATGGTCATCTGTTCAGTGGGGTTATTGGCTAGGTGGAGAATGACATTAACTAGTAGTTGAGATAGTTAACTAGTTAACTGAGTTTAGTTATAATTAATATGCGTTTAATCTAACTCATTTTTGATGGCGTGTTCTCGGATTCGGTCGGACACGACGAAAGAAGCCCGGATCACGGGCTTGCCCCTGGCGGCTCGGCCAACCCTCTTATGCCCCGTCCTCTTGCCTTTTCCCAATCGGGCCATATCAACTTCAATCGTCCAAATTTTCTCCACCGCCCTCACTCATTTTAATTCTTTCAACGCTCTCCTCCTCTGTTTCTATCCTTTCTCTTTCTTCGTTTCCTCTAACTATCTTCTCCTGCCTACAGCCTGTTCCTTTCTGACTCTCTTTGCTTGTTACTAGTATCCTCCCCTCCTCATCCCCCTCTCCCAAATTACGGCTCGGCTCCTTCGCTTCGAACACCCCCGAATCCTTATACCCCCTATCCTCTGGGCTTGTGCCAGATTAGTTTCTCGTAGCCAGAAAATATCGAACGCCATCCGACCCTGACATAGTTAGCGTCATTATCCTCCTTCCCTGTCTTTGTAATCTAGCCAGCTTAAGCTTCTCCTGGAACCATCTTCAAATACCCATCTCGCCTGCCCGTTGACAGAGATCTTTTCCCTCCTCCTCCTTCCTCTCTCATTTCTCTCTGTGAACCGAACCTCCATGGTAATTCACTAAAAGAAGATCGCTCTTCTCTGAAACTCCATTGGGTGCGGGTTTGACTGACTCCCCGTCCTTCTGGATTGTCAACATGGCCAACGCGACCAGCTTCTCCGATCTTCCCCCTCTACCAACCTACACCCTCACACCCCGCCAACCCCTGGTTGCCTCAATCCCCGACAATGTCATGATTCTCATCATTCCCATAATAGGATACTGGGTGATATCGCTAACATTCCACTGGATTGATGTCAACGACTTCTTTCCCCAGTACCGCATCCACACACCCGCTGAGGTTTTGAAACGCAATCATGTGTCACGTTGGGATGTGATTCGGGATGTTATTTTGCAGCAATTGATCCAAACTGTCTGTGGCTTGGTGTTGGCCTACTTCGATGAGGTGGAGTATACGGGCAAGGATGAATACAACGTCATGGCCTGGGCAACAAGGGTCAGAATTGCCCAACGCCTAATACCCCGTGTTTTCTCCTTTGTTGGAATCGATGCTGGTCGGCTTGCCCAAAGGCTACCGTCATTTCCGATGCTGGCTGCTGCGATCTCCGGCGGTCGATATCCGTTTCTGACTCAGAGGATTATCGCCCCCGGTGGAGAGTCTGTGGTTGCTCCCGCATTTGCTAGCTGGGAAGTCAATACGGCCTATTTGGTCTACTGGTATCTGATACCGGCTCTGCAGTTTATCACAGCTACCTTTCTCTTAGACACATGGCAATACTTTCTGCACCGCGGAATGCATATGAATAAATGGCTGTACAGTATGTTTGCACGTCCATATCTCCCGTATCTCGTATCTATTGCACTTTTTCTAACCCGAAACCAAACTTTCAGCAACATTCCATTCTCGCCATCATCGCCTCTACGTGCCCTATGCCTTTGGCGCACTATATAACCACCCTTTCGAAGGCTTCCTGCTTGATACCGCTGGAGCTGGCCTTTCATTTCTCATCACAGGAATGACCAACCGCCAAGGAATGTGTTTTTACACATTCTCAACTATCAAAACGGTTGACGACCACTCGGGCTATGTCTTTCCCTTTGATCCTCTCCAACATTTCACCTCCAACAATGCCGCGTACCACGATATTCACCATCAAAGCTGGGGTATCAAAACCAACTTTTCCCAGCCGTTTTTCACTTTTTGGGATGGGTTACTAAATACACGTTGGTCGGGTGGTGACGTCAGTAGTCGATATGAGCGGTCACGCAGAGCTGCACAAAAGTTAGTGGACGAAGATAATGCAAGGTCTCAAGCCGAGAATATGCTAGCAGAGGTAGTTTCGGTTAAGGAAGGGGAGGAGTCGGCTTCACTCAACCTCTTGTCTCGAAGCGTTCGTCGGAAGACCCCTTCATTCTCTCCGCAGGCAGACAATCTGAAGGCCGTCAGTCATCGCCTTAACGGAAGCATACGGCAGAAATAATCCTCGCGGCATAGCAACAATAGGATCGACTCCTTTTGTTCCCTCTGTTTTAATGCACATACCCAATCACACCCTTCTACGCCTGAACGCTGAAAGCTGTTTGATCACCGCCCCTGGCTCGGGCTGTCTATTAGCAACTGATTTCACAGATACCACCAAAAATATTTTGTTTCTTTCCGCCTTGTATATAATATGTCTGCTTGGTTCTACGATAACAATTGCTTCTAATTCTCCTCTTAAACCTAATGCTGGCCTAGTGGTCTTTTGATGCATCACCACTGTTACGTCTGGGCCCTTGCTTCTTTCCACCCTGTTTTCTCTCTTTCCTAACCATGTTTTCACTCTTCTTTTTTCTAATCTTATATTTGCCAACTTATGCTGCCGGGTGACTTCGTTGACCTGCCTTCCTTGGATTGACACCAGTTTTCCCGTTGCGGGCGCTTTGTTATATTCTCCAATGACGGATTTGTATTGATCACACCGCAACGCTGTGGCTCTTAAAACTCTTCTCCATTCCCCAATACATTCTCGGTTCAATATCTCCTCTTATTATTATATTTCTTTTTTCAGATAGGTGGCTCCGTTCATAAGCACACTTTCATTTTTTCCTTCCAAATTATATTTGCTTTTTAAATCTTCCCTCTTCTTTTACCTTGGGAAACTTTGGCTCTTTTCACATCACCAAGCTTTCCACGGATGCATGTAAATGTATAAAAGTTTTGAAAGAGCCATATTAAATATTATTGATAGCTAACTTTAATAGTAGTAATTATTACAAAGACATGAAAGACACTGATATTCACAAGGAGATGAAGAATTTTGTTTGTTTTTAATCCGCTTGGGGAGGCCATAGCAGACAGGGCATTAATATATTTAAAAGTAGCAAGATCGAATGGGCTGGAGGGCTAAAGAGGTTGATCTGTGTAGTTCCTACGAGGTAAACTTAAAGGAAACAATGAATACAGGGGCAACGTATCGTTGCATTGTAACAATTGGAATTGGGACGGTGGATTGATAAACACTCGTTCCCGAAACTGTTGACTTTTATTGTCGGCTGCTCCAATAGCCTGCTCAGGGTTAGCGACCGTTGGAAATAATCTGTCAACTCTTGCGCCGTCTTGGTTCTATCGTCCTGCTTCTAGTCGTTGGGTCTTCTCTTTCCATTGTTCATATCAATGTTGGGGTTGAAATTGTTTAATGTTATTGCTGTTGCCGCCATAATATATCAGACCGCCGACACTTGAACCCAACAGGATAGTTTGACTAAGTTACGGCATGTCACTACACGAAACTAGTGGTGGCGTTGGTGGCTGTGTGGAACTGTAGTTGGAGGATTGCGACCGAGAGAGACAAACCAACAACCAGGGAATCGGTCTTACCAAGGAAAGAGAGAGGGCATTCATTTTCCTTTGGCGAAATGGCTCTGGTTAATATTGTTGTCACAGTCCGCGCGGTTGTGGTTTGGGCAAATTGTTTTGGGTTGTTTTGTCCATGCGTGACTCGGGCCGACGGGTCTTTCTTGAACAGGCTAGACTTCTTTCCACTGAAGGCCCCGCATCCAATCCCTTTGACAGCCAATAGGCCCCAAGGTTTCTTCAAGGGAGCTCTGGAAAGTTTGTCACTGTATAATAAATAGTTAACGATAAGTTCGTCTCTGAATACGCCTTAGGACATCGTAAGAATCGCTCCACCTACCCTAGCCGTCCAGGCCGCAGTTCCAGGCACCCACCCGGATTCTGGCATCCGGGCCAGCACGACAGTAGTTACGACAGTGCGAAGGGCTGTCAGAGCTGAACGCATCCAGTAGTACAACTAGACAACCCTTGTACAATTCACATTTATCCGCCTGGCATTTCCATAACCCCTTAAGGTCAATATTATTTTTTCCCTTAAAACCTTCAGGCAAAACGACATACTGTTAAGTTGTCGCAGATACCGCGTTATTCGCTTGCTGACTTGACGTAATTAAGTGTGGATTCATGTCGGGTGTAAACGTTGATATTCTCATCAACTTCACGCCTTACGAAATTCACATGTAACTATCTATTTAAGGTCATTTTCCTTGCCAGCTGCCTGTTGCCTAAACATAATCTCCCGCCAGTGTAAGATACACATTCGTGGAGCTGTCAGGCTTCCACTTCCCTTCTTTCGCCCCAATTCATTGGAACCTCCACGGCAGCACTCAAGACTCTCGTCCACAGTATACCCCGTTTCGCTATTTTCGGCGTCAGTCAATATTATTTCCGGGAACCAGGGAGGCATTTTAACATCCTATCTTGAGGCATTGAAACATATAGTGCAACTTTGACCTACTAGCTATTTTGAAGGGTCTGATTTACGTCTTCCCATTCGTGCATTGATGCCAAAGGCGATTTCCACCTTTGTAGATAACTACGAGTGCGGAACAGTCGGTACAGAGAAGTCTTATCTATCAATAGTGGAAAATTTCGACCTCGGCTTCCAGATTGTGGAGGAACAGGATCCTGGAGCATCCCGAAACAGGATGAGAACTGGAAAACACTTAACCGATACAAGAAAGCAGAACCCTGAAGTCGATAATTCTTGTCAAGTGTATGGGCTTTTGTGAGGCCAATGCAATAATTGATAATAATCATGGAAAAGGATTTTCACTGTACTGTACAGTTCATCAAACAAAATGGGGGGAGTGAAAATCATATATCCAGAACAATAGAAAACTATAAATGTGGGAAAGATAGCACTGATTTACAGCATTTTTCCACAGCGGGATGAAGGGCGCTGCGAGGAGACAGGAAAGGTCTTCATTTACCAGTTGGAACCTTCGAGTTGATTGCAATTGGCGTTGCTCCATTGTAGCAATATGATGCAGAGAATCCTGGAGAGATTCCGGTCTTTGTAGCAGGATCGTTAAGGGCTTTTGTCATTCCTCTGTGGATCGACATTCAGCCTTTGAATCTGATAGACTTACTCCCACCGTAACATCGAGCGATATATCCATAACTGCCTAGATAAAAAAATTTTTCAAATGGCGGCAGCATCCAGTCTGTGACTCCGGGTCTTGAAAAAAAGCTCATCGCTATTGACGTGCCTTGTGACGTTTCAGAGGAGTGACCTTTGTTGGCTGTGGATTCATCAAAGAATAACAGAACAATTAAACTTGGTTGTCTTTCCGAGTCGGGTTTTGACATGTTCGTATACTGCGTAAAGGTAGGCTCCACATTGGGGGCTGTTCCCCAGAACGTTGAAGTTGGTATGAAAAACTAAGGAAAAGGAATCCTGGTTCGCGTAACTACGTTAGTTAACTAGGGACTGGCGTCGGCAAAGTTTTATTTCACGTCATTCAATGATGTCGCCTAGTCGGGGAGTCCCTTGAATAGTGTAGAGTTAAGATACATATGATGCATATTAATATGAATATCCCAGATTGGAATTTATTGTTTAATCTTAACCATCAGTTCTTTCTCCGATTTTGTCATACATCAACTGTTTGGCTGAACAGGCACCAACATCAATACACACTTCTCTTCTCTACAGATAGCAAAGAATACTTAGGTCAATAATAATAGTGATTCTTCATACACCCAGACTATGTACATTTAGGGAAATGAGGAAGCGGGAAATGAGCGGCATTTTGGAGGTAAAAGTATGAAGCATAGGAAGGTCGAGACGAGACCTCCATTCAGCTTAACAAGCTTCCCTCCCCTTCAGGGAACAAATAAGCCATCGCGGGCCTAGGCAGTGCCAGCGGCAGATAGGATATATATTACATGAGTGGCTCCTCTGATACATCTCCTCGATTCCAAGTCTGCCAATTGTTCTCTCTCTTCTAGAGCCTTGGAGCAAATGAAACATCCTCACCCCTAAGCACCTTTGAAACATTCCGACTCGTCCAGTCTGAAATGGCCATGTTGGTAACCATTGGATTGACACCGCTCGCGCTTGGGAAAACAGACGCATCAGTGACATAAAGTCCTTCAGTACCCCAGACTTTCCCGGTAGGGTCAACGACGCTGGATTTTGGAGCGTTACCCATACGGCAGGTACCCATCTGATGGGCGCTTGCAAAGGCAGTGCGTTCAGGGGCCAAGGGAGAATAGACATGGCGGACCTTTTTGATCCAGGCCTGGAATGACGTGTGATTGATACCTTCTTCAGGGCTACATGTCTCGGTCACTAAACGTTCGGGGCGAATGAATGTTGGGATGTCGCGACTGGTAGTGTAAATTTCTTGAGCCCCGCAAACATACGCAATTTTTGCGGCACCAATAACAGCTTCCATCATGTTCTTTCTATCGAAATGGGAGGGAGTATAGGCGATTCTACATCGACCATCGACAGGATCAGGATACACCCTACCCGCATCTCGTTCGCGGGTGAGAGTGATAAACCCAGCCATTTTGCGAAGGGTTGCAGCAAAGCGCTTGTACATGATACCGTCGTTCCAGGGGAAAACGGGAAGAAAGAACGACGGGACTGCGGTTAGAGTCTCGATCTTCGCTCCATGGCCCTGACCATCCACATTCTCGAATTCCGTTACCATTGATGTGAGAATGCCACCTTCCCACGGGAGCATCTCTTCCTTAAAAACGGCAGACAGAACAACAACTGCACGCAATCAGTCAATGGTTACCATTATAACAAATTTCAACCCGCAATCAAAACACCAAGGTGGGAACGTACCTGGATGCAAGTAAAGATTACGCCCGATCTGTGGATTTTTCAGGCCACTCCGTAGGAGCAACAGAGGGGTTTGCAAGGAACCACATGCCACAACGACCTTTCTCGCCTTGATTACGACTTTACGTTTGATGACTGGCTGTCCGGATGTTCCATGGTTAATGTCTCTTGAGGTCCAGATTCCTTGAACTCCATGAGCAAGGCAATTTCCAACATTGCCCTCTTTAAACAATATTCTCTCGGCATAAAATCCTTCGATAAATTGAGCGCCGGCCCGTGCAGCATCTGCCAGTAACGTCACATGGGGGCCATTTTTGCAGCCTGATGCACAACCCAAAGTGCAGTGTCCACACCAATGCTCCTGATTGCCTGTATTCTGTGGCACAGTCTGAGCGGCATAGCCCAGTTTTCGTGCCCCATCCAAAAGGACACGGTTGGGGTTATTATGGTTTACATGCTCTGTATTAACGCCCATGCGCTCACAAACACGATCTAGACATTTCTGGTACTCCGAAGAGGTGAAGAACGGCATCCCTTTCTTTGCCCATTCCTGGCGGACGTAGCTCTGTGTCTGAATCGAAGCTGACCAGTTAATCGTTCCACCACCGCCCCAGGTCGAACCCGAGATGGCGGCAATAGAGCCATCATCAGAAATGTTGGCGCCCCCATTTTCGAACATATTTGAGGAGGCATGCCTCATTGTCATAGGAAAATGCCTTTCTGGGAAATGATAAGCCTTTTCAAGCACAATAACGCTGTGGCCAGCCTCCGCGAGATTCTTTGCCGCCACAGCTGCACCACAGCCGCTGCCAATAATGACAACCTCTGTTGAGATAATCTCGGCATTGTCTCCAGGAGGAATCTGCACAAACTGATACGGGTAGCCTTCAGAGGGTGCATAACCGATGGGCACTTGGGGAAAGCCAAGAATCTCCGGGAGAGTTGGACTCAGAGAAATCCACGCCTTGTTAAAGAGCAAAATAAGAGAACGGTAAATGGTGCGCATGGGTGGAAGGGTAGAGGTAGCCCAACCGCGAAAGATTGCTTCGCGAACACGGTAAGAGTGGCACTGGATAGGAGCGAAGTATCCAGTCAAGGCAAAGGATATGGGGCGACTATTGAGGGAGTTGAGGATTATGCAGATACCGCGCCTGGCGTCTTCTGGAATTTGCTGACCGAGGATTCGAGACAAACTCTCTTTGAACTCTGGGATGCTGGAGGCATTTTCATTGAGGTACCGGACGGCGAGGTCAGGGTGTGTCGACGGATCGGCATTAGAGTGAATACCATGAGCAGCAAGCACATACTCAGCATCATCAATTATGCAGTCACCCAGGGATCCACCTTCGCTTTTTGATCTGATGGATGGAATGACAATATCTGCAAGCGCCAAAAGAGTTTTCCATTGAAGTGGGGATAAAACGGTATTGGGTGAGGGGGCAGGAGGCAGAGGGCTGTCCAGGACGGTGACAACAGTGGATGGTGAGGGGGCAGCCATGGCGATCGATTTTGGGGTATGCCCCAGGGTTAAATATATGTAGAGACAAGGGGTGTGAAGCGCGATACTCTAAAAAAAAAAAAATTAAAAATTAAAAATTAAAAATTAAAAATTAAAAAATTAAAAAAAAAAGAAAAAAAAAAAAAAAAAGAAAAAAACAGCAGGACGATCGCACAGCTAGAAAAACAGACAGCCAGACAAGCGGACGACTGGATGGCGAGGCCGAAATGGAGGTTAATATTTATTAGTATTGGGGGACGTTGTGGGAGGCGAGGGTATTTCCTTTGCCTGCATTCAAACGAGTGTGAGGGGGCTCAAGCAGAGCAGCAAACAGGAAATATAAAGAGCTTTCCAACTTGACAGCGAGCGAGTGACTCGAGGAGGAGTAACGAGAGAGAAAAGATATACAGGCAGTATAGAAACTAGCTGCTGTTGATGATGCTTGGGCTAAGGCGAGATGAGGAGAATAACGAGGAATGGTTCTTTAAGGAGAAGAGGGAGAGAAGTTAGAAGCATATACAAGGAGAGGGGGAAGGGGGTGGGAGGAGAGGTGGGGGAGGGGGGGGAATAAAATTATAAAATAAAATAAAATAACATAAATAAAAGAGAGGAGAAGATGGAGATGAAGCTGTTGTTTACTCAGGCTCCGCCGGGAGTTGGGCGGAAAGCGCAGACGGTGAGCAAATCAACAACAGCCAGCCCGCACTGTAAATATTCAGATGGAAGGGACGAAACAGAAGCAGAAAAAAAGGAGAGAGAGAGAGAGAGAGAGAGAGAGAGAGAATATACAGCACATAGCAGTGTAAGGTTATAGTTATAGGAGTGAATATGGCAGTGTAGCAGTCTTATGCATATAGCAGTCAAGTGTCTAGTCTGCTTCTGTGTGGGACTTCCTGGACAATGGTTTCCGCCGGGTCAAAGTAGAGTCGTTGGGAGGTTCATGGCTTTTCATTTGAGATGGATGCCAACATGGACTGTCCAATGCCCCGACTCCGAGATGTCTAACTAGTTAACTAGGATCCCTCTCTCTCCTCGGCTGCTGTGTGATGTTTATGTTTGTGACATTGGAAGCTAGGGAAAGCGAGTGAGGGGAGAGTTGCCCCCAGATTCAGAGTTGACTAATATTAAGTTTGTTGGTTAACCAACCGGGACGGAAGAACACTGTTCTTCATTGGCTGTTGGCAGAGGATTGTATCCCTCGGGAAATTATCTTCTCAGAAAAGATCGAGTCGAGTTGATTTAAAGTTAGTTATTTGGCGGGCGGCTAACTAGCAGAGTCTGGTACTTTGGAGACGAGGAATAATCTGAGAACAGCGGAAAATCGATCAAGCTCTCTAACTTGTTAGTTAACTACTCTAAATAACGGGGAATCCCGTGTCGTTACCGAGCTAGCTAGGTGGAAAGCCTTTCTTCAACCTAGGCTTGCTGGTGGTTTGGTGCAGGAATCGGGCCTGTTGGCTGTGCCAAATTTGCATGTGGAAACTGCAAAAAGTGGAACAAACTAAAAAAGCTTTAACCAGCTGGTTAACTAAATAATGGGGGGTCACAATCCCGCTGATTTCAACTAGATATGCCATTCCACGATTGCTTAAGGTAATTAATTGCTCACCGAGCAAGACAGACATCAAATTTAAACATCTTCAGTTTCCTAACTCAGTCATCTCAATGTTGTTAATAATTAATTTTATGTCATTAATTCACAATAAAATGTTGAGACAATCTATTGAACAAGAGGGAAGGCTTGAACTTGTGATAATGTTATCCAAAATGATAAAAAAATATTTAAAAATAAAAAAAAACCTCAAATTCATGTGGCTGCATATCTATATAACAACTTCCGACAGAGAAGGTTAAGAAGGAAATGAGAAAATATTAAAAAGAGCTTGGTCTTATCAAACTAAATAACTTACATCAAAACTCCGACGTCCAGTAACTACGTGCCATCTTCGTACCCAGTCCACAATAAAAATAGAGTTATCTTTGCTATCATTGCCTTTTTTTTATTTTATTTTTATATTTTTTTGTCAGGAGACGTATTTTGCAACTATTTTCTATTTTCCTCTACCATCAATGGCTCACACGCATGACCATGTTTATGTGCTAAGGGTGGGCATCTCGTCCAGCCAACCCCCAAAAGAGATTTTCTACAGCAGATAAGTTACCAAAGCCCTTCTGGATGCTTGCATGACATACGATGATGTCGACCAGGTTTTGCCTGCTACGCCTATGGCGTTTCAACCTCTTGTCAGAGCGTCTTCCCAATTCGGTAAATAAACAACGGAGTTTCTTGATTCTATTTTGATTTTTCAACTTCTTTTCTGATAACGTAAACCGCCACACAACGCACGCCGCCACACAACGCACGCCTCTACAAGCAAGCAACCACCCAAGGAATTCCACCAATTTCTCAACCACCCATGAATTTATTTAATTTAAATTAAAAATATATATCTAGTAGAAGGAATAGATCATATAAAAATGTATAGTTAATCCAAAAATCTAGATGGAAGTCGAATAATGCGGCCACAACGTGATAATTGCGGGGTGGGCGAAGAAGGAATTGACGGCGACGTGGAGGAACTGCTAGAAGAAGTAGGTCGTAGGGAGCTTGCTGATAGGCGTGTAATTGACTGATTACCGGATTGGGAAGGTTGTATAGGGTTGGCCTGGTTAGATTTTTCGCCAGGCCCCTGGCTTCGTACGGCCTTTGTAGGGGATTTGGCTGACCTGGCTGATCTGGCGGCGGCAACGAGATTTTGATCTCTAGAAAGCTTTAACTCTCTAGTAGCTTGCTGAGCAGCTTCCTTATCAGTCTTCTTTCGCTCAGCAGCTAGTTTACGAGCAGCCACGCGAGCAGCAACCTCAGCTTTTTGTCTCTCTCGCTTCTGAGCATTAGCCAGCCTAAGAGCTCGAGTTGCAGCTTGCTTTGCAGCTTTTACGATCGCTTTCTCTTGACGTAATATATCCTGTTGAAGCTTGCCTGCTGCTTTTTCAGCAGCCTCACTAATCTTAGCAGCCTCGTCGGTCTCAAGCTGCTGACGTGCTGCCGCAATCCTAGAAGGTGAAAAGAATTGAGCAGCACGCGAATTCTCTTTATCCACAAGACCTAGAGGCTTTCCACGTTGGCGGCGCTTCTTCTCCTTTCGTAAAGCTTCGTATAGAAGCTTATTTTCATGCTGCAAAATCTCTTTTTCAAAAACTAGTCTTTCACTAGCATGAACGATTTTTCGGAACCCAGTAGAGATTCTTCGCCGTTGATTTAACTTCTTAACTGCCCGTCGCAGTCCTCGTATGGTAGTGGGTGTGACTGGCTCTGCTGTGACTGGAGTGCTTGGTCTAGCAAGCTTGCTAAGCACCCGATCTGGTGAGAGAGGATAAATGCCAGTAGCAGCAAATCCAGACTCTATATTTGACTTCGTGACAGCTTGCTTCCAGGCGTTGTGGAATAATAAAAAGAAGTTGCGTTTTTTAATGGATACACCTCCCATTGCTGAGCGTAAGAATAAATCCACCTGCTGAGAGTATGCCTTTGATAAAGGTCCAAAAATACCAACATCCAAAGGCTGCAAGCGATGAGTTGAATGAGGCGGCAGTACAGCAAGGATAATACGATTTTGATCAGCGTAGTTGATGAATTTCATATTGACATGAGAAGAATGGCCGTCAAGGATGAGCAGGCGCCAGGCTCCATTCCTAGCCTTTGTATGAGGATTAAAGACCCGTTGCAGCCAATGTAATCCATATTGATCACTGCTCCAGCCGTTCGGGGAGGCAGCAAAAAAGACCTCATGCTCTTTAGAATCAAAATCTTCTAGCCACGTATCTTGCAAATCCCCGGAGTCTGACTGATATATAAGACCTGGCGGCGTTGACCTTCCACTGGCTGATATGGCGGCTAGCAAAGAGATGAATTCTCTACTCCCATCCTGAATCGTGCCTAGCAAGCTCCCGCTCTTAAGCTGCTGTACAGAGACTATTCGCTTGCTGATTTGCATGACGCCCATAAGAAAGCCCTTCTCATCAAGATTCCACGTATTAGATGGTCGAATGTTGAATTTTTTGACCTTTTCGTCTAGCTAAGATGCTCAAGCATTAGCAACCCCTCATTAAATTGCAGGCAATGTAAATAAAAATCAATCAAATACAAGCTGGAAAAAGTGCTGAAAATACTCAGAATTATCAGCTCTCTTGCGTTTTTGATCAATTGCTCGTAAATATAGGCTTTTGATGCGATCCTTGTGGCGTTGACAAAATCTAGAGATCCAATGCTCGCCAATCGGCTCCTGAAGGATTTCTTCAACTAGATTTTGAAGAATTCGAGGTGTAGGAGGAAAGCCACGGTCCGTAAGACGATTTATATATCGAATAAGCTCTTCCTCTTGAGAGTTCGTAAGTTTCTGTCTATATAGGGAGTCGGCAGTTTCTCGAGACACTGATTTGCCCGTAACGCGTCGCATAAGCGTAGTTCGATGAATTCCGTATTTTTTTGCAACAGTAGTATAATTGCCAGCCTCTTGCGAAAGGAATTCAGCCACTGCGAGCTCTACAGCTTCTTTGGTTGGCATGTTGTAGATGATTGAAGGTGGAAGGTTGGGTTCAAAAATCGGGTTTTTGGGGCGTGCGTTGTGTGGCGGCGTGCGTTGTGTGGCGGTTTACGTTAACTAATTATCCCTGGTTTTGATTATTTGTCTCCAGTCTTTTACCATATGAAGCTGAGCTCAAAACACCACCGGGGACCAGGAATGAATGGCATCCCGATTGCCAATGTCAACAATTCATGTGCAACGGGTTAGGGTTTGTAACTACCTTGCACAGCAATCCCTCAGTCTAGGTGATGCAGATGTCGCCCTGGTCATTGGTTTTGAAAACAAAATGACTAGTCGCCCAAAGAAGATTTTCAGGGACCTCTTATTTAAATTTACCAGTCTTCAGGCGAAAAAAAATGTTTAACGTCAACGGAAACAGCAAGTCTAGAAATATCAGCCTGATCGGTAATACCG